ATGCATAACATAAGAGCAGACTAGCAGCTGCTCTATATTTTAAAAGAAGACTTAGAAAGTTAGAAACTTTCATGGCTATTCAAAACATAAGCAACTGCTTGGAGTCATGGAAACAAGATTCAACAATAAACTTGTATTCATGAAGCTTCTCCCAAAATAATAATCCCGGTGGGCTGTGTTCAGGTGGTATTAGGGTATTGAACAATCTTTCTATTTCTATCATTTGGATTCACTAAAAATATTTTTGTAGAGGCAGAGCAGTGGAAATGACTACATTGATTAGATATGGGGATTGGTTTCTAGCTGATTTTTACCTTCTGATATTTATATTTTTAAATCAAATTTTAAAAAAACCTCTACTTATATTTGCTATTTTTCACTTAAACATATTGTGAAAGAGCTGAGAGTCCCATTGAGAACTGAGGTGTATATTATTTTATTCCAGGCCTCTAAAACAAGAATCCTTTAGGTGATGATGTTCATTGTTTGTTCTTTCAAAAATCACCTGATGAATATTAACCAATGTCAAGGAATGCCAGTAATCTTTACATTAACCCCTTACCTTACACTAAGCCCTTTGGCCCCACTTCTGAACCAGGAGAGTGTTAGCCCCACACCATCTTTACCACTGTGACTCTCATATTTTCCCCATGCCAACAGCTCCATTTGGATCTTTAGTGATGGGTTTTTTTGTTTTTTTTTGTTTTTTTTTTTTTATTTTTCTTTTGGAAATTGCTGTTCTCTGAAGTATAGTGAGGTCTGCATTACTGGTTCTTGAGTTTCAATTTCTAGAGTTCAGGAGTAATTGTATAATACAATTACTTCTGGGATCTGGAGTTTTTAAAGAGAAAAAATCAACTAAAGTTTAAGAGAGTAAATCAGAATCAGGTTGGTATCTGTTATTTCAACCTCCCTGCATGTAAGTAACAGCAGTGGTGACAACTGGTCATGGCGACCAGCAAGGCTGGTCCATGATCTGGGGTGGACACTGTGCAGGAAGAAGCTTGGAAGGAAAGGGATGTCTTGATGTTAAATTTGGAGTATGGACAATGAAGAGCCCTAATCTAAGTCATAAGACCTTCATTCTAGGCACAATGTTCTTGCTCAACAAACTGTACCCTTGAGCAAGTCTTAAAAATAAGATGGTTTGATGAGGTGGGATTTAAGTTTAGAATCCTGTTATTATTTTTAAAAAGTGTATATATAACATAATTTATGTTTGGAGGGGATAAAGGTTGCAAGTGGTCAATGAAACTAGTTAAGAGGGAAATTTGGCAGTGGAAGGGAAGTTATACTCCTTTTAAGAAATCTTGACAACCAAGAGGGCTTTCCTAACTGTTGTCAGAAAATAACTCTGTCCAGTCAAAGAGCATAGAAGATCCAGAGTCCAGGTATAGCATCAGAATGGTGAAGAGATGGAAATGACTAGTTCAGTTCTCATTACTAAGGACATATGTATTTCCCCAGAAGCATGTTTGAAGTGTGGGAACCCATGGCTCACTTTTTTCATTGGTGAAACAAGATAGAATGACTTTCAGTTTAACATGAGAAATCATATTTCAGTTAGTATCAGTGGAAAGGAGCAAAAATATGCATAATTTAACACAGTGAATACTAAACATTTTTTATTTGAATTGGAATTTGAAAATTTTATACCTAAATTGGGTTATTTCTCATGCCCTTGGCCCCAATAGTGAAATTACATTGTGAAGACCTGCTTTGGGGAGGGAACTATTAGTTTTCTCTTCACCAATGTCCAGTGCTTTCCAATGTCCAGTGCATGCAAAGAACATTTAGATGCTGAGGAAAAATTGGCAAGTAGAACCATATTTTCCCTCAGTGCATCACTGAGATGGGAATTAGTTATACTTTATAAAGCTGAAAAAACACCCTGTTTTAATAGCCCAGTTTTATGGATAAGGAGACCAAGGCCCCACAAAGCGAATTCCCACAACTGATTAATGTTAGATCTGAGACTAGAACCTCTGTTCTCCTATACCACATTATCCTGTTAGATGTTGGAAGGGGTTACCATAGAAGTTGCTCAATAAATGTTTGCTGCTGAGTAATAATGACTCTAATGATGAATTATTCTCCCAATTCCCACTTCTGGGAGCTGGTTTAAATCAGTGATTCTCATGGAGGAAGGGAGTCATGTGTATTTTGAAAACAAAGCAGGGCTTTTTCTTACTGCTTTGATTTGTTTTTAATAATGATATTGAATTTCAGATTACATTAAAAGCATGAGATTGTTGTGTTTACTGAGAATGGTTGTACCTGTAAGGGAACCCATGTGTTACTTTTCAAAGTTCTTTCTGGGATTTTGCTTCTGTGAATGAAAAAAAAAGACTTTTTAAAACTTACTATTTTTTTTTTTTAACTCTTAAACTTTTTTATTGATTTGAGAAAGAGTGGAAAGAAGAGAGAGAAACATCCATGTGAGAGAGAAACATCGATTGGTTGCCTCCACACTCGCCTCAACTGGGGATCTAACTCGCAACCTGGGAATGTGCCCTGACTGGAAATCAAACCTGCCTCCTCTTGGTGTATGGGACAATGCTCCAACCAACTGAGCCACACTGGCCAGGGCTAACCTTGCTATTCTTTTTAGTTGAAAATGAAACTAAAAATCGGTGATGTAGGCTGTGAAATTGACACTCAAGATAAAAAGGAATTGCAGGTAGAAACAACCTATCAACTGATGTTCATCAACTGATGAATGGTTGAACAAATGTAGTGTCTACACAATTCAATGTTATTCAGTCATAAAAAAGGATGGAAGAGTGATGCATGCTGCAACATGGGTGCACCTTGTAAACATTCTGATAAGTTTGATTGTTTGATTGTATGATTCTATTTATAGAAAACGTCCAGAATAGGCAAATTCATAGAGACAGAGAGTAGATTAGTGGTAACTCCCCCCATGTATTGTGGGAGAAGGGAATGGGGAGTGACTGCTAATGTGTATGGAGTTTATTTTTAAGTGATAAAAATGTTAGGGAACTAGATAGTGGTGATATTTGCATAACACTGGAGTGTACTAAATGCCACAGAGCTGTACACTTTAAGATGAATTTTATGTGTATTTTACATTGAAAAAAGGAAATGCATCAGTGACACTTCAGTACATCAACCCTTTCCATGTGTCTATGATCTGTGAATAGGACTAGGCCTTTGGATTAAGGGGCAACATCTTGTCTGCAGTTAATGGTTTCTGTAGACCCAGAATACATACATATATACACATACACATATATGTATATATGTAATTCTTCAATAATATATAATTATATCCTGTATAATTATATAATAATATATACATTTAGCAGTTAGGGCTTATGTAGAGTAATTTCAGAGAGATTCCTGTTTCTTCTACAGTCCTCTGTGGAGTTATAGATAAGGTTCTGCCTTCTTGTTTAAGAGTGAAAAATCTTAAGAAGGTCTTAGACTTTTAAGAAAACTTTTACCATTCCTAACTCTGACTTGAGAACTGTGTCTATGTAGAAAAATCACTATATTGATTAAAAACAGAAGCATTTAGATGAAGCCTCAATTTATCCCGACTGCAGGTAATCATGTGACCAGGGTGACAGGAACACCTTTAGTAGTCCTGCTGTGTTGCAGGTTGTTTACTCTGCTTCCTTGTCTGGGCCTTGTTTAGACCTGTTCTCATCATTATTTCTATGCCCCTTCAACCTTTATAAGCCCATCCCCTGCTCTGCTCACACAAGAAGTTTGTGTTTTGTTCCTTGGTCTTTTGGTGATTTCTTTTGGACAATTACTGCACATTTAGTCAATTCTTGAGAAACATTTGTTTCAATGTCAAGGTTACCTGGTGTCCGAGTTTATTCATATGTATTTTTGAAACTGGATATAAGAGAAAATTGGCTGCACACCTTTTTGTGGCATGATTTTAAATGTCTTTTTGTTTTCTCATGTCCTAGATTATTAATTTAAAAAAATAAAATGGTTGTTTTTTCTCTGGCAGCTATAACTAACTTTTTCCCAGACATAAAAATTATATTGGATGTTATTGGTTATATTTTTAAAAACCCTCCAAAGATTGGGTGATCCTCTAAAAGAATATTTGTTTTTATTTAAAACTATGATCCATCAAAGTGAAACAGTTACATTTTATACAAATAAGACAAAACTTTTTCACAGAATTAGGAGGGAGGGTAATTTGCTTTAGTTTACTGTCATTCTGGATGCCAAGAATAAGAACCATCATCATTTTCTTCCTCTGTGAACATCAAATATAAAGATGAGAAATTTTAGTTATAAGTTAGTGAAGTTTCAGGGTTTTAATTTTATTCAGAAATTAAAACTTCTTCAGTAAAATACCTTTTCTTCATTTTGTGCCACATCTTGCAGAACTCCTGAATTCAGGAATGTTATTATATTTAATGGGTGTTATGGAACAAATGCTTGTGTCCTTCCAAAATCCATATGTTGAAGTCCTAACTCCCAATGTGATGGTATTAGGAGGTGGGAGGCCATTAGGTCATGAGGGTGAAAGCCTCATTAATGGGATTGGTGCTCTTATAAAAGGGACCTCAGAGAGCTCTCCCTCTCTCTTTCTACCATGATAGGTTATGAGTCTGCAACCCAGAAGAGGGATCCTACCAGAACCTGACCATGCTGGCACCCTGGTCTTGGGCTGCCAGTTTTTCAGACTATGAAAAGCAAATTTCTGTTCTTTGTAAGCCACCCAGTCTATAATTTGTCCTAACATCTCAAACTAAGATACTGCGTTTGCTTTTTCAGGTCAACTCCAATGTGGTTTAGAAAGAATTTGTTTTCTTATCTCCTTCCCATAGATTTCTCAATAATTTTACAGGGGATACCTTCTTTATTTTGAGAATTTTTCTTACTGTGTTTTTACATTCATAATCAAAAGTTTGTGACAAAAATTAAAATATCCTATAATAATGATTTATTACTGTGTTATAAGCAACCATGTTAAGACTGATCATGAAAATAAACACAAATGTGGTAGATCCTCATTTTCTAAAGAAATATATCTTTATTGACTTTTTCCATTTTCTTACAAAGCAGTTAAAAAAACCTCATTCTTGAACTTGCTATTCAATGTTATGATGGGTGCCTCCTAATGAGACTGTCAGTGGAGCTGTAGTAAGTTTCCTTAAGCACCACAGAAGATAATCATTGCTTGGTCCCACTTTTACAGAAAAGAATCCAAGTTTCACCGGATAGAGTATGCTTAGCTCTCTTGCAGAAGACCAGTTTAGTGGATTAATGTCTAATTTACATATAGTAATAAAGGCAAACTTTGAATCTTTACAGATTAAATGCCCACTTTATACCATGGTGTAATTGTTTGAATTATTGGTGAGTGTACAGTATATAGATGTAGATGTACTAGGTATGTCTATAAATAAAATAGTGCTTTAAGGTAACAATATTCTTTGGCTGATTTAAATGCCTCTAGTGGACTCTTTTAAAAGACTAAAATGAAAATGGCCCCACTATTATTGTCAATCTTAACACTGAGCTTGTGCGGAAGGTTCCTATACTGTTGACTGTCAGCATCTCCAGGTCCACAATATATTCTCTTGGTCCTGTTAGCGACTTCACCAGCACCAGCATTGCACTTACAGGACTTGTTTGCTAAAATAAGAGAAAAAAAGAAGAAGGGAAAAATAATTTTTCTTGGATTGAAGTTTCTATTCTTTTGTGAGTATACCTCCTAAAAGAATTAGGGGAAGAATTTTAAAGGTGGGATAAAAGTCACTTAGTCCCTTCTTAGCTCCAACCCATCTTGGTTCTTATCCCTTGTCCACATATAATTAGTTCGAAGTCACAGGAGCCTCCTTTTTTCTATGTTTTCTATTTGTCCCTCTGTTAATGTTCTCTTCACTTTTATTGAGTATTATCGGGCTTTATAGAGACTGGATTTCAGGTGAGAATCTGATAATTTTTGAACTGGTGGACAAAGTTGTCATCTTTCACTTCTCAAAATTTATATTCCAGTAGATGAAGATACATGTAAATGGTTGATTTTAATAGAATGTGGCAAATGCTAATTTATATGAGGAAATGCAAGGTATGTATGCAGAAACATAAAGGTATATATACACATAGGGAAAAGGAAGAGGGTCCCTCAAAAACAGAGGGAAGGCTTCTGAATGACTGAGGAGAGTCACCCAAGACAAATGGAAATTTTGTAAAGAAGAATGTTCAGAAGAACTGGATGCAATTTCATTTTGATAAAGAATGTGGTGGGTGCTGAAGAGTGGAGGGAAATGAGGTTGGAGGGGCAGGTAAATAAATGTGTGAATCTCAATACCAAGAGGAGGGAAGGGGTACAGATAGTAGATTAAGATTTAGTAGTCACTTCAGTGGGTGCATCAAACCAAGGGAGAGAATATATAGGTGATAAGCCTGGGTCTGACAGAGGCCAACATTTAAGGAGTGGGCAGAGGAGAAGCATTGAAGGAAGCTGCTAAGAAATAGATGATTAAGTGGAAAACAAATGAGTGACCAGCAGTGTCTAATTGAGTAGGAGAGGTTGAGGATGACTGGAACTGAAAAATACCCTCCTGGAGTTAGCAGTATGGATGTTGGTGTTGGCTTTTTGCCAGAACAATGTCAGTAGATTGACAGAAGTGAAACCCTGTCTCTGGAAAACTTGAGGGAGATGTAGGAAAAAGGATACATAGACTTAAATTTATAGGGAATGGGATGCAAAGTTCAGGTAATTCATGCCTGTTGGCCTCAGTGGTTTCAGAAGATTAGGAGGTGAGGTCACTTACTAAAAATGATTGGCATAAGGATTTAAAGAGTGTGGGGACATTTGAAATCAGGAGCTGAAGAGAAGAAACAAAAGAAAATAATAGGATTGTTGAGCATACTGAAGATGTATCTGAAGTTGAAGACTTATAGTATTTCCAATCTGCGCTGACAAACTGGGTATTAAAATACATATGGATTATGAGATTGATCCAGGTTTCTGGTCAGGGAGTTGAGGTGTTGGTGATAGAGTAGTTCAATGGTTCACTGAACAGTTGACTGACTGGAAGAAAGTTGAGGGTGAGGTGTCAGGGAGCTAGCATCACTTTGAGGGTGAAGAGAAGATAGAGTGGAAGTGAGGGCACAAGGGAGCAGGAGAGTCAGTCATTGAGTATGTCACTGGAGGCTAAAATTCTGATATGAAATTGTTCTGAATGATAACAAAGTCCAGTGTGTGGCCATGGAGTTGGTGGCAGAGTGGCATGAAGCTGAACATCATGGGGGACGAGATGGACAGGGAATTGTATGCTAAGATACTGAACAGGCGCCCAAATCAGCTTACCAAAAGGAAAATTCTTCATAATCTAGCTTCTCTTTATCCCAGGTCCCCTTCTTTTCTGAGTGATCTCACCCACTCCCTATATACTCTCCATGAGTTATTTCATCCATAGCTATAGCTTCAATTATCATGTATTTGTCAGTGACTTGAAAGTCTGTACTTTGAATTCTAAGCTCCCATTTCCAACATTACTCATCTCTACTTGGATATCTCATGGGGACCAGGACTCAATATGTCCAAACTCCTCACCTTCTTCTCTACACTGGCTCCTTCTGCCCTGTCTTAGTAAATGCCATCATCATTTACTGTTGCTCACAACAGAAATTTGGAGGTTATTCTTGTTGCCACCTTTTCCTCCACCTATCCATAGCACATGGGTCAACAAGTCACGTAGTTCTTCCTACATCTTCAAAGTCTGTTCACTTCCTTTGGACTCATTGCTACAACCCTAGTCTCCCATTTCTTGAACTACTTACTGGTTTCTCCATTTCCATTCTTGCTCCACTCCAATCCATGTTCTACAGTTAGCCACACATGTTTTTAACATGAAAATCTGATAGGGATGCCTCTGCTTGAAACCTTTAATATGGTCTGTAAGGCATTGTGTGATCTAGGCCTTGTTCATCTCTCCAGGCTCCTCTCAAGCCACTCTGCCTACAGCATTTGGAGTTCCAGACCAACTGGTTTTGTTTTTATTCCTTACATTTGCTGGTCTCTAATTTCTAGTTTTCAGCTTAAATAAACTTCTAAGAGGCTCACAGACCACTCCTGTCTTGGTTAGGGGTTGGCTTGTTATGCACTCATGAGCAACTTACAATGCTCAGTTGTAACATTCAGCAAACGTATGAGCACTTGTTTGATGCCTTGACTGTCAGCTACACTGGGGCAGGAACTGGCTTAGTTTTATTCACTGTTAGGTCTCTAGGACCTAGAATGGTGCTTGCCCCTTGTAATTCATTAAAAAATATTTTTTGAGCACGTGCATTATGCCAGAGACCATTCTATGTGCTGTGCACAGAAAAGAGAACAGACAGCTAAAGTCTCTGCTTTCATTCCACTCACCCTGTTGTGGGTGACACAGACAAATGAATACTATGCAAGTGCTGGTAAGGGCTTTGAAGAAAAGTAAGGCTCAGTAAGGGAGGATAGATATGGGGCAAGATGGGAGGAGGATGGTATTATGTAGTACTTCTTTACAACATGTCCCCTTTTCTAGGGAAGAAGGTTTTCTCAGTATTCTCCCCAAAGGAATATAAATAAAATCCTATATACCACAGACCCTCTCAAGGCTCAGGTCCAGTCTCATGACCATCAAGAAACATTCTTTGCCCATTCCAGCCCATATTAATTTTTGATGTCTTGGACCACAAATTTAAACTCAAAAATTTCCCCTTCTTTTTTCATAGATGTTAACTTTTACCACATAGTGATATTTAAAGCTCTTTGAAATAAGGAACTATGTATTATGTGCACCTAGCATGGAGCTGAGCATGCAGTAGATGCTTAATTAAGGTCTGCTAATTGATTCTTATGCATTCAATACACTCCTTACAAGTGGAATTTCAGTAGAGAAATTTTCTAGGATTTGATCCAACTAATTTTTGAATTATGTGATAAGAAATAGTCTTGAAATGTCTTTTTATTTTAAATAGTTTTTGTTTCAAATGACTTAATACTATTTAACTCTCTTATGATAAAAATTGGCAATGGTTTAGATCATTCATGAGAAAAAAGGAATTTACTTGAGCAAAACACTAAGTATATTTGAAAACATCAAGTCGATAAATGCACTGATATGAATCATAAAACTTTTAAAGTGCCATGTTTATTGCAAGGAAAAAAACATGCTGGACCTTTACTTCACTGTTTGTTGATTCTGCTAGGAAATTTTATTTTCTTAAATTATAGCTAAGAGTTCAAAATGGAAAATTATTTTTAAAGAAGATTTTTAGATGAACCTATTTTATTGCCATGGGTTACAAACAATGTCATTTGTTTGTGCTAGAATTATTACATTGGTATTATCTGAACTGTGTGAAATTCATTTAGAGTAAACTTCTTACATTATCTACTCTACCTCAAATTTAAAGCATCAAATGTCACAGAAGTTTATTCTTAGCTATTAGGAAAAAGAATAGTAATAGATTGTATTTTGGGTTTGTTTTTTCTCTTCAGAAGTTGGTCATGAGAAATTAATCATTTCTAATTTACTGGCAAAGAAACAGAATCACATAATTCTGGAACTGGAAGGGAACTTAAATAGCAAAGAACAGCGTAAAAGTGCAAACATTAAAAATCTGTAAACTTGACCACAAGGATGAATTTCCCAATTTACTTTTCATATTCTCAGACTAAAATATTGACTTTAAAATTTGATTAAAAATGAAGAGTGCCCAAAGGAGTTTTGAGAAAATTGGAATTGGATGAATGACATCCTTAGCGTGAAACAGTTACCGTAACCCTGTAAACTGCTTGGTGGGGTGCCATCATTTTCACATGAAGTTGTGAGCCGTATTTAAAATATGTCAGAATTTTAACCTAAAATGAACTTGCTGAGATTTTGCCGGGGGACTGAAAGGCTGAGGCACTGGAATCAGGGAGATATACTTGGAATCTGTTGGAGGGATTGGGGAAGTGCTAAGAGCAAGTGCAAAGGAAGAGAGACAGAGGCATGGGGAAGCAAAATAACCCAGGAGCCTGGCCTGTGTGGCTCATCGGTTGAGCATCACGGTTCAATTCCTGGTCAGGGCACATCCCCAGGGTTATGTGCTCAATCTCCCCCAAAGTAGGGGGCATGCAGGAGGCAGCCGATCAATGACTCTCTCATCATTGATGTTTCTGTCTGTCTCTTTCCCTCTCCCTTCCTCTTTCTGAAATCATTAGACATTTTTAAAAGGAAATAACCCAGGAGACATTGAAGAAAGAAATGGTGGAACTCAGAAAAAGATTTCATACAGGAAACGAAAGAAAGGGAAAACAACAATGGTGACCTCAAATTTTCTGCCTGGAGGTTTGCAAGAGTGGTACAACTATTGACACATACATTGCAGGGGGTTGGGATCACTTCTTAGAGACTTCCGAGCTTTAGTTTTGTAAAAATATAAATACTCCTGTGAATGTAACAATAAGGAATTCATGGTTTTTGAAAAGCTCTCCAGGAATTATTTTTTATGGGTACAATTAAATAACTGTCACTAATTTATGGTATCTATTTGGTGTGTATGCATGTATGTATATAGGCTTGTGTTTTGATGATCACACACAATTCCATTAGAATCTACAATTTATCTGAATGACTTTAGAGAAGCTACTTAATCTCAACGAGTCTCACTTTCTCTTCTGTAAAAAATGGAGATATATATTTAATATCTTACAGTGTTACCAAGAGGATTGAATGCAGTAATGCACACAGGCAGGCCTTACACAATGCCTGCACATAAACACTTTAAATGTTAGCTTTCCTTCCATGTGAATACTACCAAACAACAACAACAAGAAACCTGAAACCTTCTCAACAGCTAAGGCTGCCCTCAGGATACTTACTCTTAGGTAGAATTCTCCATTTTCATTTCCAGATTTAATCTGAAAAGTATTGATAGTGTTGGCATAAACGGTTGTAGCCTGTATCTGGAAGATGTCTGATGGCACAGACCTATCAGATCGGATGCTCATATATTTGTAGACTATGGACTGGGGGAGTTCTCGGCACACTGCATTTGTGACTGTGCAAATACATCGGCTGCAAAGGCAAACAAAAATATTCAACAGTTTGGCTTGGTAAAATTAGAAAATTCTCACTTTCTGAAGTTTTGATTTTTCTTACTTCTCTGATGCTAGAATGTAGGGATCCTGACAAGGATTTCGTGGGTAACAACGGAAGCCTCCATGATAATTCCAACACATTTCATCTTCCCGACATTCATTTGTGGTCTCACACTCATTTATATCTGTAGAGACATAGGGTCAAAGAGTTTACTGATCTAAGTAAATTGTATAAGTGGCAGATTCAGGTTTGCAGGGAAAGGGGAGTTTGGGAATCTGGACTGCATTTAATTTGATTTTAGACACAGGACTGGATGAGACTTGAGTTCATTGCATTTAATTCAGCATATACACAGCTGAGCCATTGTAAATTGATATGTGTCATTTCATGATATTTTATCAAGCACCTATTGTTCATGTGCTGAATTCAAATCCAACTGCTAGCCATTGATCCTGCTTATGTAAAAGTGAAAGACAGCACTTCTTGCCATCCGATTATAATTTAGTTAGGAATATAGAAACGGCAACAGTTAATTATAAAATAAAATGGAATTAAATACGAGATTGATAAGTGCAGTGGAAGATTAGAAGCAGAATTGACAAATTCTGCCTGGGGAACTAGGGAAGGCTGAGCGAAGGAGGAGGCATCTCAACTTGGCCTTTAAGAGTGGTGGTTGGGTGGGATTTTCATGGCTGGGGTAGGAAGGGCCTTCCAGGCTGAGAAAGCAGCAAGCTAAAACTATGGGGAGGGCAGTTTACTTCTCAGAAGCTTTGGAGAAATGTAGAGGCTAGAGGTGTGGTTTCTATAAATGATAACATGCTGGTGGATAGTTGATGCCCTGGGAGTGGGTTATACTCTCCAGAGGAAGCACAGCTCAAGAATGGAGCTATGAAGTGTTCCACCTTGTAGAACAAAGCTATTTAAAGACAGTATGGAGGCTGGACAACAAGATGGCGGCATAGGTAACAGCGGTACCTGCCGCCTCCCACAACCACATCAAAATTACAACTAAAATACAGAACAACCATCGTTCAGAACCTCCTGAAATCTAGCTGAACAGAAGTCCTACAATAAGGAAATTGAAGAAGCGACGAGACTGGTAAGAGGGGCAGAATCTGGACTGAATGGAGGAGCCATGGCTGTGGTCCTACACCCAAGTGCAGTGGTTTAAACCCTGGAAGGATATCTTGACTATGGAAGTTTCCCAGAGGAGCAAGGGGTCCCAGCCCCACATCAAGCCCCCCAGCCCAGGGTTCCAGTGCTGGGGAGAGAAGTCCCCACAACTTCAGGCTGTAAAAACCAGCAGGGATTGTGGCTGAGTGACACAGAGCCTGCCGGACATTCCTCTTAAAGGGCCAGAGCTTGGACTTACTTAGAGGCACTCCCTCTGAGCTCCAGAGCTGGGCAGCCGCTTAAAAATAACTTGAGACATCTGGCAAGGAACTAAGTTGCTTGGAATCAGGGTGAGAGCTGGAGGGGCAGCTTTCTCACAGACAGAAGAGCTGGCAGAGGCCATTGCTCCTTTGACAAGCACTCCCTCCACAGAGCTGGCAGGCAGGCAGGCACCTTTTCTGAATCTCCATCAACTGACTCACACCTTTCACTCTGCCCTGGTGATTCCTAGAGACCCCGCCTCTTCCTATTTGCAAGCTCATCCAAGCCATTTCCAGTGGCTTTTCTACCCAAGTGGACCCCTCTAGCTTCATGCTTAGGACTTTCCTAAAATCTCTCAAACAAGCAGCAACTGGCTCAGCATGACCCATACCTCTTGATAAGTGGCCCCAGGCCTGGCACTAGTGGCAGCCTGCATTGGATGATAGCTTGGCCTCTTCTGGACACTTCCAAGCCCAGCACAAGTAGCAGCCATCTAGGGATTGCTGTATAGCTCATGTTGGGTGCCCCTGAGCAGGGCATAAGCAGAGGCTGATTTTGTACCTCCTGGGAGGCCCCAGGGACAGTGCACCCAGTGGTCAGTTTTGACCATGCTGGATTACAACCCTACTTTGAGGGACACACTCAAGGGGTGCACTTGGTGAACACCAAAGCTACACTGAAGTCAATCCTGCTCCATAGGGGTGTCTCCAGCACAGCAGCTCTTTGGCTGTAGTTGCAGCTGGTCCTCATAGCCCATTGGCCCTTGGGGTCAAATCCTCCCAGTGATGCCAATAGCAACCAAGGCTCAACTACAACAGGACAGTGCACACAGCCCACACAGGGGAGCACCTAGAAGGCAGCTCAGGTGACTGGGGAGGCTGAGCCACGGGACTGNTAGCTTAATGATTTAAAGCAAGGCACTGAAAATGCCTAGATGAGCCTACCAGGCTCCATAAACATAAAGGTTTGGTCCCTGTCTCTTATACACATCTAGATGTGTATAAGAGACAGCACCTGGAAGCAGCCAAAATGTGGAGGCAAAGAAACATATCACAAATGAAAGAACAAAAGAAATCTCCAGAAAAAGAACTAAATGAAATAGAGCCAAGCAAGCTACTAGATACAGAGTTCAAAACAATGGTTATAAGGATGCTCAAGGATCGTAGTAAGACTATTAAGGAAACTAGTGAGATCATCACTGACATAATAAAGAGCCAGTCAGAAACAAAGCCTACACTAAATGAAAGGAAGAATAATTTACAAGGAATCAACAGTAGAGTAGAGGATGCTGAGAATCAAATCAGCAATTTGGAACATGAGGAAGCAAAAAACACCCAACCAGAAGAGCAAAAAGAAAAAAGGATCCAGAAATATGAAGATAACGTATGGAGTCTCTGGGACAACTTCAAGCAGCCCAACATTCACATTATGGGAGTGCCAGAAGGGGAAGAAAGAGAGCAAGAAATTGAAAACCTATTTGAAAAAATAATTACAGAACACTTCCCCTACCTGGGGAAAGAAAAAGACTTATAAGTCCAGGAAGCACAGAGAGTTCCAAACAAGAGGAACCTAAAGAGGCCCACACCAAGACACATCATAATTAAAATGCTAAAGTTTAAATACAAAGAGAGAATCTTAAAAGCAGCAAAAGAAAAGCATTTAGATACCTACCAGGGAGTACTCATACAACTCNCAAGACAAGAGCAGTTAGTTACCTACAAGGGAGCACCCATATGACTGTCAGCTGATTTCTCAACAGAAACTTTGCAGGCCAGGAGAGAGTGGCAAGAAATATTCAAAGTGATGAAAAGCATGAACCTACAACCAAGATTGCTCTACCCAGCAAAGCTATCATTTAGAACTGAAGGTCAGATAAAGAGCTTCACAGATAAGAAAAAGCTAAAAGAGTTCATCACCATCAAACCAGTACTACATGAAATGTTGAAGGGTCTCCTTTAAGAAGAAGCTAATGAACAAAAGAAACTGACAAACAAAATAGACCCAAAGACATTGAAGCATGCAACAGACTGTCATATCTCAAAGAGAAGAGGGAAGGGGGTTGGGGGATGGGAAGAGATTAACCAAAGAAGTTATATGCATATATGCACAACCCATGGACATGGACAATAACAGGGTGAAGGCCTGGGGACGGGGTGGAAGTGAGGTGGAGCAGGTCAATGGGGGGAAAAAATGGGATACCTGTAATACTTTCAACAATAAAGATAAATTAAAAACAACCACACAACCCATAACCCTAAACCTAGATAAAAACCCCTAATTCTGATAGCTAAGGAAAAGAAAAGAAAAAAAGACAGTGTGGAAGAAGAGGAACTGAGGAAGGGGCTTTCAAAAGTGAGAAGCAACCCTGGAAAAGGCAGTACAAGAAAATCAGAGGGAGTTGTGGACAGGTCAGGCTGCACAAAGGCTGATTTTAGATTTAGGAATTAGGAGCACCCAGGTAACATCTGAGAGAAGAGTTTCACTAGAGAGCCATTACATTAATGATAACAACAACAATTATATTAATATCCACATTCCTAACTATGTCTATTTCCTTTTGCATTTGAATAGTGATTTAGATTTTATCCAATACAAGCCTCTTTTGAATCATTCTTTCTCCAGTTGGATATTTTCATTTGTTATTTACTCATTCCATGAGTAATTTATTGAATCCTTGCTGCAAGCCAGGCATGGGCTGGTTGCTGGGATATGACCTTTCTCCTCTCTGAATTCTACCTCTTCTTCTTTTTGGACCTTTATTGCTTTCTGCTTTCCATTATTGAAAGGCGCATGTTTGTCTTCACCCTTCTAATTGCTTGTAAACTCCCTAAGGGCAAGGGCTATCAAACACATCTTTATGTCACCTAGATATTATCTTCATCACCTAGAATCAATGCAATGGGGCACCAGAATTTTTAAGAACTATTGAATTGAACTAAATTATCCCTCACAAACCACATGGAGATAGGTGAGAAAGATATTATCTCTATTTGACATGTGGAGAAAAAAAAAATAAGGGTTAAATAGCTGACCCAAATTCATACAGTTAGTGATAGGCAACTTTCCACTGTAAGGTACTGCATCCTCTAGTGAGAGTAATTCCATGCCTTGTCTTTTGTGGAGACAGAGAGAGAGAAAACAACAACTTTCTTTTAGTTTCCAAACTGGCTAAAGCTATCTGGATCCCAAAAGATCTTAATCATTCTGGAAGGTTTTCCAGAAATTATTAATAGTGTTAAAATATTTGATGAGTGTATCTATGTGTATGTGTATTCTCTCTCTGCCTCTATTTTTCTGACTTCCTCTCTCCCACCCTTCCCACCCCATTTTTAGTTTTGCAAGACCATGGGAATGAGAAAAGTTATTTCACACTCAAAATAAGCCTTTTGGAGGAATGTAAGAATTCAAACTCTTTCAGTTTTACCTTAGTCTGTGAATGAAGTTGGGAAGGGATGATTTCAGTGGGGGAAACCAATGGCTTTGTACTTTAAAAGAATGTCTCTCTCACACACACACACACACACACACACACACACACACACACACACACACGTTTTGGCTTAGCCAAACATTCTGAAGCTGTATATCTTCAAGATATAACCTTCATCTTGCCATGGCTGTGTAGCTCAGTTGGTTAGAGCATCCTCTCATACACCACGGTTGGAGGTTCGATCTCCAATCAGGGCACATATAAGAAGCAACCAATGAATGCATAAATAAGTAGAACAATAAATCTCTCTCTCTAAAATCAATCAATAATAAAAAGAGATATAACATTCATGAATCCCCTATTTGAAATTTCAGTGCGTTTTCACCTTTAATTATAACAATTAATGTTTCCAGATATACAGACTAGGCAGGTATGATTCCACTGTACATTAATTTGCTTTGTCTTTTGCTGAGTACCAAATCCATTTACAGTGAGAAACACACAAACATTTGTATGAAGGACTCCAGGGAAATTGGTTAAAATGTCCCACTGGCTAACATTTTCCAGCCTGTAATATTCATGTTAAAAGTCTCAATTAGGGTTCAGAAAGCAAAACCATTGGAATGCAATGTTTTTCCATAATTAACATTACAGAGTCTTTAGTAATCTGGAAAGGGGTATAAAGATGTTCACTGTGTAGTGAATGACATTCTAATTGTGCTCATATTTGGTGGCTGGGATCTAGTTGAATAATCATATACCTAGTAATAAATTCCAGGTCAATGGGTGTTCCTCTGAGTTAATATTTTTCTGTAAAATCATGATATAGACTGATAATCCCCAGTGTCTCCTTAATCTTTTCCTTTCTTAACAAGATTTCCCTGCCCTGTGTGCCCTGTCTCAATTCTGATTAAAAAGGACTTTTTAGAGAAGATTTGCCACCTGTAATTTATGTTGTTAGGTAAATTTCACAAAAACATCTTGATTTATATAGGGTTTATACTTTACAAATAATTTTTATGTATATTATTCCATTTCCCTCCCCCAACTCCCTTTTCCAAATGAGAAAGCTGAGACTCAGAGGAGTTTGATAATCTGTTCAAGATTGTACCAATAGACTGCAACACAGAACTCAAACAGATTCTCTGTCTTCAAGTTCAGTCATTTTTTTCATTCTCTCATTGCTTTCTGTAAGTGTGTTTGTACTAGCTCTTCCAGAATTATCTACATTTTTGGTTTTATCTGAGCAGCCTTTTCACTGTTGAAGAAATTTCAAGTTACATGCAGCATTGATGGTAGGGAGAAGAGGGTGCATATTTTCAGATCTTCTGGAGGGACTCTGATTGAAATTATACCATGTAGAGAGCTACTTCTTCTACCTATGTGTATGTGTGAAGATCACCTGCATGCTCATTTTAAAACTGGGCCCAAGGACATTAGCTATTTTGAATCAATAGTTTTTTGCCAAAGAATTCAAGCATATTTAATATATGCATGAAGCTGATTTTCTCAGCATCTAAACTACTACTCTATTTTAATCTTGGTGTTTTAGAGAACCAAGACTGGTTTAAGGTATGCTTAATCCACATATAAAGTTTATGCTCTGTACTTAGACTCATGATGAAGTATTTTAATAATAGAATCTTTTCTGGTGGATGCTTAGAAGACGTATATCATGGAGATTATGTAGGCTATATAGAAGGGATATCAATATTTCATTAAAATTATTTATATTTTAAGAAAGAAAAACAGTTACTTTAAATTTCAAGAAAAGTAGGTATTAACAGTAAATACCCTCTTTTTGTGTGTGTGAATACCCTCTTTATGAGATGTGCATATTTCATAATGAACAGGGGGGAAGAAAGAGCTCAAATTGTATATTCAGGGTGGAAAAAATGAAAAGCCTATGGTAGAGAATCTTATAATTCCTCCCTGCTTTTCCTGGTTAAACTCAACATAGCAGATACAAAAACAGTAAACTTACCCTGACATGTTCTACCTCTCACCACTTGGTATCCCTGAGGGCACATACACGAGAATTTCCCAGGCTCATTGACACATTGATATTGACACAGGTAACTTGAGGTTCTGCATTCATCAATGTCTGTTGAATCAGAGAAGAGCAAGGACATAGAATTGAAAAACTACTTTGGTCATATTTTTTAGTTGAAGTAAGAGAGTAAAAATGCTGCAAACTCTCAAGGGCAAATTCTAACAATATTGGCTCATTTCCCCTAGAACCGTGATTTTCAACTTTTTTCATTTCATGGCACACATAAACTAATCACTAAAATTCTGCTTCACACCAAAATATATATTATGTTTTTTGCTGACAAAAAATAGGTATAATTTTGATTCATTCACACTGGATAGCAATTGTTGTGTTGGCTTTCATCTTTTCATAATTTGATAAAATTACAAAAATTTATATTTTAAGAAAGGAAAACAAAAACCTCTAAGGGAAAAGAGGTGAGTGCCCCTGACTAAATAGTCGGTTATTGTATGTTTTAAAAATTCTTGTGGCACACCAGTGTGCCGCAGCACACTGGTTGAAAATCGCTACTCTTGAACTTCACAGCATAGTTTGTCTTACCATTAGTTTTACTCAGTCATTGCTGACAGTTTGTCAAATCCTGGACTGAACCATATGAACTGAGCAGAATGAATGAACTGGCTTATGGCTGATGCATTTTACTTCGGGTTCTGAAGACCCACACACAATGCAGATTCATATTTGATTTCTCAGAAATTGGGTGGCTTTGCTGCCAAGCTCATCTGAGCTTTGGACTTCAAGTCCCATCACTGTGCTAGCTCCTAGAGGTGACATCCTGGCAGGATCTGGCCTTCAAGGAAAGAATGCTGTGCATTTTTCAATGGTGATGCCCTTATAATTTGCTTAGAAGGGTGGAGGCAGGTATCCAGATTCAGCCTCTTTTGGTTTTGAGCACAGTAGCATGATGTGAGGCCTCTCTGGGTGAAGTATGACCTTTATAGCCCCAAGTAAAGCAGGGAGGGTTCATGAAGAAGTCAGGGACATCAGGTGTCGATGGCACTCCCTCAGGATGTCTTATGCTTTTTAAATTACATAGTGGAACATGCATGTGCAATGGACTCTGAAGGTCATCCCTTCAGTTAAATAGCCCTCTTTAATTACGTGGAAAGTAAAACCCAGGCAACTTAAGATATGTGGTCAAGTCGTACCCTGGCAGGAATAAGACTAGGGGCCAGGTCTCTTGGTTTCTATTCTAATGCTTCTGATGGGCAGTCAGCATTTTTCAAGCTTAAATGTGTACAGTAGTCACCCAGAGTTAGATGTAGACTCTGATTCAGTAGGTCTGGGTTAGGGCCTGAGATTCTGCATTTCTCACAAGCTCCCAGGAGGTGCTGATGCTGCTGGTCATTGGATCACACTCTGAGAAGCAAGACACTAGCACACCTTTCTAATTATTAGCCCACTTTGCATTTAATATTTCAGTCATTTTCTTCTCCTTTTTCTTAATAACACACTAAGAAGTCAATGTTGCAATTGAATTAACTGGATTTTAGAATAGAATTTTCATGGATAAAACACTGTTTTCATAAACAGGTACATAATCAAATAAAAAAACAACAATCAAGAGAATTATTAAAAGTTGTTTGGAAAATATTTTACCTTCACAGTTGAGCCTGTCACTACTTAGCTCATATCCTTGATTACACTGACAGATGAATGAACCAAGAATGTTGTAGCATTGCTGGGCACATTGATTGCTGGCATCACATTCATTTATGTCTAAAAGGAAAAGTTATATACATTCATATATCTATGTCTTTAAACATATCCTTGCTATTTTGTACCTATGTCAGTTGACGATAAGTGAGTGATTCCCTAGCTGGATTCTTTGCCCTGCAGAAGCTCATTGGAGAACATCCATTCAGGTTTCATATTTGTTGGAACAACTTCAAACATCTGTTGCATACTTCTTTTAGAAATACCAGAATATTTTTTTTCTGGGAATGACAGTTATTTTGGGGTTTGATGAATCTTTCCAAAAGAATTTAATGATTCTAATAAATATACATTCCAGTATCTATTTTCTTTTATTGTTGTTCAGATGCAAAATGCCAAGTCTATAAATAATTGATATAAGACACCCATACTGATACGGTCTCTCAGCATGCTGTAGTGAAGATTTATCTGTGCTATTTATTACTTTTTAAATGGGTTCTGTTAAATTCCATTACAATTATAACATAAGCCTTTGAGACCCATACAGAGTTTTGCAATGCTGTAAGGCACTGAAAATATTGTGAAAAGGCATTTTTTCTGCACTAGATTCTTTCCATGTCATGCCAATCTTAAAATTGTGTGCCGTGACATTGCATTCTGAAAGGGGAGAAGCAGCATGTAAAAATCAAATGCGCTTTCAGTGGAAAGTTTATGTACTTGAACTTGCAGTAACCCCTTTGGCACCTTCAGCTTTTATATCACACACTGTTGACTAATTGGTGTGTGTATATCAATGGATCTGTTTTTGTTTTTTTTTTATACACCCACAGTGGAGAGCTAAAACCAAGGTTAACAAAGTTTTCCATTCACATCTTGATGTATTTTAAGAAATAGATTGGTTACTGTCTTTTCAGCTTTATTCAGGGAAGGTGATGGAAACCAGTTCACAGAAGAGCATAGAAAACTAGAAATACTGCAATGTGGCATGGAGTTTGCTTTTTTTTTTGAAGACAGAAATCAGTTAGTCAGGATGGTGATTCCCAAAAGGCTTACCTACGCAGGTATAATTGTTGGCCGCCAACTGAAACCCAGGACTGCACTGGCAATAAAACGATCCTGGTGTGTTCACGCATCTTTGGTGGCAATATGGAGGCATGGTGCATTCATCTATGTCTAGATTACCGGACACACACACACACACACACACACACACACACACACACACACAAAGAGAACTACATTACTGATTATTCACAGCTGTTTGCTCTCAAGTTTTCAGGAGAGCATTATCTAGAGAAAACTTCATTTTAAAAATAATTATTTTTATTTTATTTTCAAATTAGGGTATACGTGTTTTAAATATACTTTGGCCTGCATTCTGCAGTTAAGTGAGATGTTAAGAACAAAGACTTCATAAACCTGGTTGGGTGGATTGAGATTTAAAAGAGAAAAATAAGACTATTTCACATATATATGAGAATGTCAGTTTGAGAATCTAAAAGCTGATTTATAATGACAAAAGTAAAAAAGAACTATCAGAGAATCAAATGATGTGCATAAAACTAAGAGAAAGAAGGAGTGGGATGCTATTTCGTTGGTGACTTTGGTGAAGTCATTTAAACGTTCGGTATCTTGGTTTTTTCTCTTGTAAAATGTGGATAGTAATGCTAGTATGTGTATCTTATGATGTTTCTGTGATAATCAAATAAAAGAACACTGTGGAAGGAATAGGATGCTAAACCAAAGTGCCCTTCTGACACATTGATGAAATGCTCCAGCCCATGTCCTTCTCATATAAACATTTCCAACTATAAAGTGCTCAACTGAGAACTTGCAGAGCAGGATTAACATTTTAGAAGCATAATAAAATTTCATTGATTCATGAGTGTACACTTTGTGACAACTCCAACATGGCATGCATAATTTAAAATGACAATTATATATGTGCAATGTAAGAGTAGGTAGTGACACTGCCTTAGAGTAAAAAAAAAAAAAAAAAAAAAAAGCAAAACCAAAACTTTATGCTGATCTCTTCTGGTACTTTAATAACTAAAAGTGTGGGAAGCATTGTGCTCAAGTTGCTTCAGAGTAATCTGAGTTTGAATCTTCTGGCAATTATTATCTTGGTGTTAACCTCTTGGAGCTCCCATTTCCTCCTCTGTAAGTAATAAGATGATGTGGTAGAACTGTTGGGAGGATTACATGACAAAATGTAGGCAAATGTCCTTACACAAAACAGGTAAAGACAAATGGCAACTATTACTGATAAGTTGCAAAATTTATTTGATTTAACTTGAATATTGAAACAAATGGTAATGATATGAACATGGCTTCCTCTCTCATTTATTTAGGTGTCTGCTCAAATGTCACTTTGGAAGACCATCTCTGACCATTCATATAAAATAGCTTCTTCTGCACTCTCCCCTTATCCTGCTTTGCATTTCTTTGTAGCCACTGACATGCTTTGACATTATGTTATGCGCTTATTTGCTTCTTGTCTGTCTCCCTCACTATAATCCATGGCAGACAACACCTGTGTCTTCCTCTTGAGGTGGAAGTAAAGTATTTTTTGTCTGTTCACTGCTGTATGCTTAGTACCCGGAACAGAGCCTGGTATAGTACATACTCAACAATTAGTTGAGTAAATGGAAACATCATACCAACTAAGAGCAATTTTAACATAGTTCTTCCTAGTACCCAGATATACCCAGGTGCCAGTCTCGATAGCTAATTTGTATAAATGGTACTTTCTAATAGCTCCATGAGGGCTGTGATTCTGTATAATCTGTTCACCATGATGTCACAGCGCCTAGGACAATGCCAGGTACACAGTCAGCCCTCAGTAAATATTTGATGAATAAATGATGCGTGCCTTTACAGCTAGTAAACATTCATCAAACCATTGTTATTTGCTAGCATTGTGTTTAGCACTGCAAGTTTATAATGATGATCAATATGTGTAAGTTCTATCCCTTTCTAGTATGGAAGATGTGCATGAAAACAGATTACTGAAGGGAATGATAGGTCAACAATAGAAAGGTGTGTAAGGGACAGAGGGACAGTGTGCTACTCAAAGTGTGACCTGCTGACCACTGCTAGTACATGGACTATTTGGCTCAGTCTGCAACAATAAGTACAGGAAATTAGAGTAGTTGTTTAAGAATAGCGATTTGGTGTTTATAGAAGAATTAATTGTAGTTTATTGTCGGTTATAGAAGAATTAATCTGCAACAGAGAGGACATTTACAAAAAGGATACATCAAAATTTGAGAAGTGGCCTGGCCGGGCGTGGCTCAGCGGTTGAGCATCGACCTAGGATCCAGGCCATCGGGGTTCGATTCCCGGTCAGGGCACATGCCCAGGTCGTGGGCTCGATCAATGACTCATCATTGATGTTTCTGTCTCTCTCTCTCTCCCTCTCCTTTCCTCTCTCTGAAATCAATAAAGATATATTTAAAAAAAAAAAAAATTGAGAAGTGATAGCATAGAGGAGAGAGTGGCTCATTTTTGGAGTAGATCATAGACAACTTCCCAGAAGAAATGAACCTGAGCTGGGATTTGAGATTTAAATAGGAGTTTGCCAGGAGTATATGTTCCTGGTGCTGAAAAAGCTTATGTAGAGGTACCAACATGTGAACCTATGTGATGTATTTTATGTGGGAATTATTAGTAGTGGGATAAAGTTAGAGTGCATTTTTTTTTTTTTTTTGGTGGGAGAGGGGTGTTCAGAGCTGGGCAAGGATTAGGTTAAGGGAGACCTTATATGCTCTGCTAAAGAATGTAGAATTGGCTCTGTAGATGAGAGAAATACCACATGATTAGATTGAATTTAAGAATGTCTCCTACTATCATTTCATAAAGAGCTATAACCATATGTTCCATTCTCTTTGGTTCTTCCCACTGTAGTTTGGGATAGATTTTTTTCTGTACTTTTTATATTCTCAATTGTTTATTTTCCTAATACAGTGAGCAAAACTTTGGTGTCTGTGGAGTTTTCTACACAATCTTATCCTAAATCACAGCTTCAGTCACTGCAAACCCTGGGCCTTTCTTGGAGGCTGGACAGTAACCCCAGCCTCTAGGAACAGCCCATGGCAGGCAGGACTCCACTTGGTCCCATGAGGAGCTCAGTGTTGACATCCTGACATCAACAGCTCACATTCTCAGGCAAAAATGGGTACTAGTTGCCTGTCCCCACATCCTGATCTTCTGTTTCTAAGAGAAAATAAGGACTCTTTACTCCTATGGTAAGAGGTGGTATGTACATCATTGGACAGAGGGAGCCAATTAAAGAGTTGCATGCACAGTGCTGGGCCTTACAAATGAGCCCAGAAAACTTTAGTTTACATCTTATTTGCCAGTCAGCTTTTCCATACCATGTTCTTCCAGTCATTCAAAAAGAGATGCCTAGAGCATCTACTTGGTGGGCACTCTTCAGGGACTAAGGAGACAACAGTGACACAAACCAGACCTGGCCCCTGCCTTGAGGGAGCTCAAGGAGAGCTCTCAAGTAGAGGCACATACTACACTTGGCTTTGCATTCCTAGCACTGCACCTGCTTGCAGCATAAAGAATGTTTAGTATGTTAACTCGTTACATAATGATAGCACACAGCTATTCAGCCTAGGAGCAGGCTCTGTTCTAAGCATTCCCACACATGAGCTTCTGAAGTAGAGGCTAGTATTATCTCCACAGTACACAGGGAAATAGTGAGATAGAGAGTTTCAGTAACTCACCCAAAGCCTCAATGTGAGTTAAGGGTGGTGATGGGATTTGAACCTCACCATTTGTCTTATAAACTGTATTATGCTGAAACCAGTGAATGAAGCCCGAATCATCAGTGTTTAAGTGTTATGGTCCCAAATAGCTAATTTAAAATTATTTTTTCAGTTGCTTTTATGGTCTCATTTATGCTCCAAATTTCTGCTTTTGCATGTAATTAACACTTTGATATTCAGAATATGCTGAACCTTTATTTTATTTTTTAAAATATTTTTTATTGATTTCAGAGAGACAAAGGGAGAGGGAGAGAGAGAAACATCAGCGATGAGAGAGTCATTGATTGGCTGCCTCCTGCACACTTCATACTGGGGATCAAGCCAGCAACTCGGCCATGTGCCCTGACTGGGAATTGAACTGTGACCTCCTGGTTCTTGGGTTGACAATCAACCACTGAGTCACGCTGACCAGGCCAGAATATGCTGAAATTTTAGGGCTAGTTCTTTCTTGTGAATGTGGAAAATGAGTTGGCATTCAGTGAAAGAATAAGCAGTTGTTGGCTATCATTCTCCAAATAAACATGAGTGCTTTGTTTTGAATGCCTAAGGTTTAACAATTAAGATGCTCAAAACAGGACTCTTTACTGCACTGTTGTACTTACCCACACACTGATCTCCTCGCTTCTGATACCCTATAGGACACTGGCAGGCGAAGGAGCCACGTAAATTGATGCACACCTGGTCGGCTCTACAGTTGTGTGTCCCTGCGGTGCACTCATCTATGTCTGTTAAAGACACACAACATAGAAAGGGTTAGAGTTGGTTGTGAAGATGTTAATATTTCCTCCATATTGTCATAAGACTTTTCCTAAAGAAACTGAGTTTTCACTTTACTCTTAAAACAGTACTCTGCAATATTGTTGTATGGGAAATATTTAAAATGATAAATTATTTTTAGTGTTCAGGAAAGAATTGCATAGATGCCAGTATGTACTACTCAGGTTTAACAAATGCTAACATTTGCTCTGCTTGCCTCAGCTCACTTTATTTTGTTAAGAAATGAAACATATCAGATATAGCTAAAGCCTTGCTCCATCCTCACCCCCTTGCCCCCCCACCTACCACTGTCCTGGTAGGGATGAATCCTTCCCCGAGATTTTTTATACTTTTAATGTACTGAGGTACACCCATTGAAACATACAGTATTGTTTTGTGTGTTTTCAAATGTAAGTAAATTGTATGATACTGTTTTTTCCACCCAACACATAAATCTGAAATAATTTTTATTGACAAATCTCTAAAAGTCTGCCAAATAACAGGGTATAAACCAAACTTTAATATTATGCATTCCCTGTTGCTGTTGGTGTGTTCAAACTTTAGAAAGGATTTAATTTGGTCATATTTTTCTAGGAGAGATAGGCTGGTGTAGTGTAAAATACTTATTTTCCCAAAGCATTTCAATTCCGGGAACAACGTAGTAAAGGTAACTTAGGGAATAGGTAGGTTATAGTTTTAGAAAAGTAAAAAAAAATGTCTAGTCATAATATATGACTGTTATATTTCTGTGGGATCAAAGTGAGATGTGAATCTATGTGTACACTTATATTACACAATAATTTATGTGATATTTAATTTTGCCTTATGTACATCACCTGTGCATTCATTCATATATTGCTCTCTCACATTACAAAGTGAAACAGCACAAATGAAAGAATTATGTGATTGTGGCATTCTTCAACAATTTAAGACTCAACTTAAGTTTCATTAAAAATATAGCCTTGTAATTCCTTGATGACAATTTAGCATAAAAACTGTAACAAGCTTAGGGGGTCTTAGAACATCACTGTGGTAGACCCAGGGTGGTGCTTTGGGTCAAGAATCAATAATTTTAAAAAAATGAGCCTTTGGTTAGAATTTATTCTTTAATTCCTGCCCTTCTCTTTAAGAAGCTCAGAATGTTGCCATTCATCTTTCTAATATTCCCAAGGAGAATTACTGCACTTACAGTACCTGGTGTAATAATGTAGGAAGCTCTGGTTGTAAGAGTGTTGTTCTTAGATATGGGCTTCAATTAGCTGGGTGTGGAAATGATACAAGAGATTCCAAAAGAATGAGGGAGGGGAGATGAAAAATACTCATGGGACATATAGCTATTATGGATAATAACCTACTTACATAATTCTTTGAACCTGGTTTTTAAGTTTTGGTGAATTTATTTTTGTTACTGTTTTTAAATTTTTGTTTTGAATTTATTATTATTTTCAAATCACCGATTAGAACTCTATCCTTTTTAGGTACTATGCAAAGGTGTAGCAATCTTGCTTTGAAATTTTTGTTGGTGTCTTTTATTATTTTCCCATATGCACGTGATGAAAACATTTCTATTGAGGTTTCTTCAGGCTTTATGACTTGCTAATGCAGAAATGACAACAGAATTCCTGTTGTTTTATGTCAAGAACATTTGCCAGCATTTGCAGTGATAACAGCCCCGAGAGAAACTGCAATGTGAGATTCAGATGTGGCAGGTTTCCTCAGTACATGCGGGCAGAAGATCAAGGGCTGGCTGGCTGCTGCACTTTCTAGAGGAGGCCTCGCCAGTGGCTGAGGCTTCTTTCTGAGAACTCTCTCTGAAAACTGCCTCCACCCCATCATATTCCTGACGTCCCACAGTTCCCTTCCTACTTTCTTGTCCTTCAGTTCCAAGTCTCTTTGATATATAGCATAACATTTCTAGTGGAATTAATATATCATTAAATAGATTTTAAACATAAAAACCGTGTTCCCTGGACCTTCTCCTCCTTAAAAACAGGTCAACTTATCTTCTGAGAAGGGTTATTTAATAAAAATATTGGGTGAGCTAAGGTAATTTAATAAAAACAAGCAAAATAACAAACAAGTAAAATACCACTGCCTCTCCTACCACTGCAATTCTTTTCCTTTCTCTATTAAAAAAACAAACAAAACTGCAACAGGACTCACCTTACTTAGGATTGACTGCTAATATTTTTAATACATATATATGTGAATTCATTTTTTTTTTTTAAATATATCTTTATTGATTTCAGAGAGAGGAAAGGAGAGGGAGAGACAGAGATAGAAACATCAAAGATGAGAGAGTCGTTGATCAAGCCCGCAACCGGGGCATGTGCCCTGACCGGGAATTGAACCCCAATCGCCTGGATCCTAGGTCGACGCTCAACCGCTGAGCCACGCCCGGCCGGGCGTGAATTCACTTTTATTTTTAATTCTTTCGGAGAGGAAACCTTCTGAAATTCAATAAAATGCAGTTGTATGAAATTCCCTTTGAGAAATTATTCCAAAGGACTTGAGGGCCTGCTTCATCATACAGCTTGAGTTGCATCTGCTAGTACATGAACTGACTACATTTTCATTTGTGGCTCTTTGACTTGAGTGTAGAATATTTATTCTCTCCTCTGCTCTTAGCAGGTTATCTAATGCTGAAGGATATACACATATATATATGATTTCTTTGAGCTATATTCAATTGTACTGTCAATTTATTGGTTTATTTAAATAAAACAATTGTATTATTTTGAAAGTTGTACTTTGAGATTCTGTTATGGTATTCACAAAGCATATAAGCCGTATTAGAAAGTTACATAAGAATATACAAAGTCATATAAGAATTGCTGTACACTGTCAAATACTTTTATGCTTCTCTTTTCTACTTGTATGCATTTCTATTTATCTCAGATGTCAGAAAGTTCAATGTGATAAAAAAAAAAATAAGTACAATATACATCTGTGTCAGGAACTCAAAGCAGCATATCCATCCTTGGGTAGATGTACCAGACAACCTGGCTCTCCAAGGTGTGACTATGAAAGCCTGCTGTGGGGAGAATATCTGTAGTGGCAAGAGCAATACTTTATTCATAAGGAAAAGTACTCAGGTCAGCCATGGTTTTCCTGATAATCTAAAAAGGACTCTGGGGAGAGGAGTTTTTGCTTTGTTTTTAAACTATCTATAATTGATCCTTGACAGTTAAACTCACTAAGTTCTTATGCCATCAGTTAACACACTTCCTGGACCCTGGACCCTGGACCCTGGGCTGAAACTCTTTGAGGACGGGGTCTATGTGTTTCCTTTTCTCTGTATTCCTTGTGCCTAGCAGAACCCATGAAACATGGTGGGTTTTCAGTAAATATTTGTTAATAAATGGATGAATGAGTCATGATTGCTGAAAACTGAGGTCTGGAGTTTAAGGAAAGTGGAACCAGTGTTTTATCTCATGGAACTAAACATTTACAAGATAGGTTAACAGGCAAGATGTGAAAAAGCCCCCAGCAAAGTCATCAAGGCGTCAGCGAGTGGGAAAGGATGCGGGGCAGGGGCTTGGAGGAGCGCAGAGGCCAAGAGGCATAAGGCAGCCTTGGGGGGGGGGGTAAGGCAGCCTTGATGGGGGGACGGCTATAGTGGGTTTGCTGAAGAGGTGGGTTTTGAGCCACGTTTTGAAGAAGGTGAGGTACAGGGGTTGACAGAAATAGGAGGCTATTTCTAGGCAGAAGGCAGGTTGCATTAGAAAACACTGAGGAGACAAAAGTGGTTTGCATGAGAATGGCTGAGAGCCGGAGTCAGCCTGGCTGGAGGCGCTGCTGCGGGAGCAGCACTGCAGTTGTCTGGGCTCATGGTAGTTCAAGTCATGAGCAAAATTCAGGGCCTTAAAGGTGGGATTAGAGTTTGGATTGAACACCACAGGGAACAGCTTTGAACCATGTAGACATAGCCTAATGTAAACATTACCAAAGAACAAAATAATAGAGTGTGCTTCCTAAAATATCACAACACGTAAATCAACTCACATTTCATCATTCTAATGCATTAATAGCTAATGGCAATATTTGGTGATTCCCTCATTTTTCAAAAATGTGCCCATGTTCTCGCTCCTAGTGATTTATACTATTTCAGGTCCCTCTCTTGCTGACTTTGGCACCATAATTGCTTTAAATAATACAGTCTGATCTTTGCTCAGCTCGCATTCCTAGCCTCTTTACCATACTGACGCCCAGTCTATGCAACTGCACGTTTAGTTTTCTCTCCACGTTAATGGAGGTTTCTGTCCATGTCTCTGTGGTGCCCATTAAGTCCCTGTGTACCCTCATTCTCTGTTTTGGCTCCTTCCCTTCCGTCTGACTCATATTTCCCAAACCCCTGACTCATGCTGCTTTTCTCTCTTATGCAACATTTTAATCTCTTCAATGTTCTTTCCACAATTTGATAACTTACCACGACATGAAGTCACTTAGTGTGTTTCACGGGAAAAATTTTTGTGCATCTTAAATGCTGTAGATTACCAATTAGACTTTTCTAGTTTGTGCTGCTTTAGGTTTAAGGAATAGTTCAGAATTACTTTGGAATAACCTACCATTGCCAAGTGATGAGAATGCACTAACATAGGAGGAAGGGGATTGAAATTATTTTGAGTCTGTCACTGCCTGTGTAACCCAGGGCTATGGTATCAATTCTTTTTCTCTCTGCTTCTCCGTCTGTAAAAGACACTGTGTATCCCTCATAACAGTGTACAGGTTTTTAAAAAAATGTTCAGAATATTCAAAATATATATTTTTTGTATCCAGACTGTAAATCTTAGAGTAAAAGAACCATATCTTTACTAGTTCTGTGTGGGGCACTGTGCATATTTGGAAATATTACTTGAGTGTGCTGTCCCTTGAACTCCTGTGGTTAAAAAAAAGGTAGTGGTTAAATTCAGGTTGCTGTTAATTCTTGATCTGTGTTGATTTTAAACTTTGTTATATTTCCCCCAAT